AATTTCCCTGTGTCTTAGTGTCACTTTTGCAATGCAGCATTTGTTTTCCAATGTAGCTTCGGATTTCGGTGTCACATTTTCTATCCTTTGTTAAAAGACTTCCCAGATGGCTAAATTTCTTTACTTGTTTGATTTTGGCCTCTCCTATTCGTAGTTGGCACTTTGAGGTTTTCTCTTGAGTTGATAAAAAAGATGGATGATATTCACATACTCAGTCTAGTAAGGGGAATTGAGTGCTAGTGCTGGAATAGTTTTTTACGGTTTATCAACCCTTTGTGGTGTATTGAAAGCTGAAAGATATTTTGGATTGTAAGATTTATTATTTTTTGGGTGATAGAATATTGCATTAACCATTTCATAAAGATAACAAGATTACATCAGATAAAAGTCCTACTATTTAATCCATAGCTGTAAAAATTCGTAGATTTTACAAGTTTTTTTTTTATCGACATGTTTTTTATTTGATATAAAAACAACATGAAAATATCAGACAAACTCGGTGAATAATTTGTGCATTGATGCTTTCATATATATATATATATATATATATATATATATATATATATATATATATATATATAATTATTTATTTTAAAATATTTATGCTCTACTTTTGTATCGAGCACTAATTTTTAAAAATAATAACAAAAATACTAAAGAACTTTGGATTATTTACCTAACGGGTTCTTTCCTATATTCTATATATTTTACACACACACACAAACATATATATATATATATATATATATATATATATATATATATATATATATATATATATATATTACCTCATATATGGGGAATAAACATATTTCGTCCGAGGAAAATCTTAAAATCTTTTTCATCTCTGGTTGTATATATATATATATATATATATGTGTGTGTGTGTGTGTGTGTGTGTGTGTGTGTGTGTGTGTGTGTGTGTGTGTGTGTGTGTGTGTGTGTGTGTGTGATATATTTAAACCGTAAACTTCGTCCATATCACGCTGAAACGCTGGTTTCCTTACGATCATTGAAGTGAAGTAAAGTTGAGCCTGGTCAGTACCTAGATGGGTGATAGTTTGGGAATACCCGGTGCTGTAAGTTTCGACGTGTGGATGGTGTAATGGATACTAGTTCGGAATTGTTAATCGGAGAGCTGAGTTCCAATTACAGTTATGCTCGTCATATCAATATTTTTTATTTTGATAAATAACTTTGCTTTTTCTTTTTCTTCTTCGCGATGTAATGAGACTGTTCCAGTTAGACATTATCTACTATCAGTTTTCTCGGCTTGTATTTCTGGCGCGGCAACAATATCTAATCTTACCACAGATATTATAAAATACATAATTAAAAACACATTATGGATGTATGGTAACGAATATCATTCCGAAAGTGATATCGTCGAGACGAGTTCAAATTAAGGGCTGGTTTAAACAGAAAAAAAACGCCTATTTTGAAATTCGCACAGCGTGAAACAATCTGTAAATAATTAAATATATATATATATATATATATATATATATATATATATATATATATATATATATAAATACATAGGGATTGTTTAAAATTTGCTCTATTAATATGGAAAAAGTACCGAATATCGGAGATATAGCGTTTACATCCATTGGTTCGTTTATTAACATTATGGTTTATCAAACCTTTGAAAGTTATTTAAAGCCAGAAAATATTTTTAGATTGTAAGATCTTTTTTGGATAATAATGGTTTCGTCTTAATAATCAATCCATAGACAGAGCTATAGATAGATAGATATATAGATAGATAGATAGATAATGAACAGATTGTGATAGATAGATAGATAGATAGATAGATAGATAGATAGAAAGAAAAATAAAATCTTAGTCAAGCTCCATGAAGTTTTCAATGAACGAGGAGAAAATTTTATATATGCCTATGTGTACACTTTTATATGCGATTTAAAGGGGACTTCCTTTTTGTGAAAATCCTTTTCTAAAAGAAGAAATTCAGTGAAATATCATCGTTAAATTATCCAGATGTTAAAAAAGAAGGTCTAATGGAGACTAAGTTTCTTGTTGCTGGCAACAAAATTGTAAATATTCGCCATCAGATTGAACAGTTATTTCGAACGATCCACTGGGTCGATAGGTCCCAAGATTTATCAGTGTCTACTCTTAAGATAGGAAACTGGTATCAGCTGTTTAAACAAATTTAGTCGAACGATGCTAAGAAATCCCACTTGAGACAAATATTTAGTCAATGTCAGTGTGCGTAGACATCAGAGTACAACCAACACTGATAGGGTGAACAATGTTGGATGTAACTATTTTTTTCTAATTCAGTAGCAAATTGGGGGAATTATATTGGGAATGGCGACATGTTGAGCCGACTGGAATTTGTTTTAAAAAACTATTCTGCCCAATTGTCCAGGTCTGACCGATTATTTGGGGAACGCACCACATTTCTAATCAGCATGGAAGATGGTATTTATCAATTCACCCACAGGAATTGAATGTGGCACAAGGCCTTTTTAATGTGGGTATGTCCGAGCCCGTAGGCCCAGCCAAAAATAAAACCCATCTAAACCCGACCAAGCGGGCTAGTTCCGTCAACCTCCCCGAACGAAACCCCACCCTTCGGCGGAGCTTCGTCCGGGTTCCTCTCTGCAAGCAGAGAGTTCGACAGACACCCGGCTCGGCAGCCCACAAAGCGCAGATACTACACTTTGATCCTAGCCACCGGGCCGAGCGGGTATTCTTTTTATAGATACGCTTATGTTGGAAACAAGTAATTATTCAAATGATAGAGAGAATCATTCTCCTGGCGTTTAGGTTATTTTAAGGGCGTGGGTTTAAATATCTGATCAATGGTTCGCCAGCCTTTTACGGTCAATACACGATGAAAGCTGACTTGACGAGTCAAAGCCGTTTTGAAAAGACACAAAAATCCCTGAATATTTACGCCATAAACCTTCTGCAGTATTTGTTTAAAGACCTAGAGGATGGATCTGCTGTGCAGATTTAAACTTCCTAAATTACTTCATTAGATACTTAAAACTAAGATGCTGAGATGAGGAAATAAAAAGTTTAATCAAAAGCAGTGTAGGGGGGGGATAGTTAACGAAGGCCGGTAAAATGAAATAAATATATTTTAATGTCTGGGAAGAAGGCGTCATTAAGTCATTTAGGGATTTTATGTTCTCAGCAGGAGCTGTTTAATCAATTTACTCCAAGAAAGACAATAAAATCACTAAGATGGATGTATGGTCGGTTAGCAGATTGGCTGGTTTGCTGGCTGGCTGGTTAGATGGGTGGATGAATAAATGAATGGATGGCTGAATGTATGGCTAGCTAGCTGACTACCTGGCTGGCTGGCTGACTGACTGGCTGGCTGGCTGGATGGATGGATGGCTGGTTGGCTGGCTGGCTGGCTGGCTGGCTTAATGTATCGATGTATTGCTGGATGGCTGGTTAGCTGACTGGCTGGATGAATGGATGAATGGCTGGATGGCTCTGGCTGGATGGATAGATGGTTGGATGGATGGCTGCATGAATGACTGTCAGGCTGGTGGGTGGGTGTTTGTCTGGTTGGTTGGCTAAATTAATGGATTGATATGTCTGTCTGTCTCTCTAGCTGGCTGGATGGATGGCTTTGTGTCTGTCTGTCTCTATAGCTGGCTGGCTGGCTGTTGGGTGGATGGCTTTGTGTCTGTCTGTCTCTGTAGCTGGCTGGCTGGCTGTTGGGTGGATGGCTTTGTGTCTGTCTGTCTCTGTAGCTGGCTGGCTGGCTGTTGGGTGGATGGCTTTGTGTCTGTCTGTCTCTGTAGCTGGCTGGCTGGCTGTTGGGTGGATGGCTTTGTGTCTGTCTGTCTCTGTAGCTGGCTGGATGGCTGGCTGGCTGGATTAATGTATCGATGTATTGCTGCATGGCTGGTTAGCTGCCTGGTTAGATGAATGGATGAATGGCTGGATGGCTTTGGATGGATGGATAGAATGGCTGGCTGGCTGGCTGAATGAATCGGTATGTTTGTATGGTTAACTGACTTTGGTGTATGGTTGCCTGATTGGCTGAATGGCTCTCTGGCTAGATGGATGTTTGGGTGGATAGGTGATTGCTGGGAGAGGCTGTTGAGAGTTACCATTATTTTCTGATTAATCGAAAACAAGCGACGACTCACCGCGATCAAAATCCACAAAGTTTTTTTTCCGGACAATTGCCTTGATATTTAACATAATATGCCTATTTTAGCAACAGGTTCTTTCTTTAAATAGCATTCTTCGGAATGTGAAGAGAAGCTAAGGTTTGCCTCCTGTGGATATTCTAATTAATAACTATCTCCCTAAGCAACTATTCTTACGGATGGTATCTCTCACCCGCTGGGCGAAGATTGTGAGTGCAGAAGACAAATATGTTCTAGAGTCAATCGCCTCTGACTATTTATTTTAGAATGATTTGATTTTGTACGAGGTCAACCAAATAATAAGCGCCACTAAAATATCTTCTTCGATCGCGTTATATATATATATATATATATATATATATATATATATATATATATCGATAGATAGATATGTGTGTGTGTGCGTGTGTGTGTGTGTGTAAGTGTAAACTAAAAGAAAACAAGAAACACTGAATTAAAAAAAAGTCCATCTTGTTTTCCAAGGAAAATAAAATCGAAATAAAAACTCTCCGTCTCTATCTCTTTCTCTCTCTTTCTATTTCTCTTTTGCTCTCTCTCTCTTTTTTTCTTTCTTTCTCTCTTTTTTTTTTCTTTATTTCTTTCTTTCTTTCTTACACTGACATAAATATGTGAATATATATGTGCGTGGGTGCTTAAAAACTCTCGTGTGGACGCACTCCTTTTTAATGCGACACGCATAATTTTTTAAAATTTCTTCTTTTCCCTAGCAATTTTTTTTATCGCATCCTTAAGATATACACGAGAAGATCCGGAAAATTTCATGGCTCAACCAAAGTGTCATGAAGAAAAAATAAAATTTTGACGTTTGTTCCGATTTTGGAAAGTTGATATTAACCGAATCCGAGAATTTTTTTTTTTTTTGACTCCTCAAGCATATGCTCATGCAGACACACACGCACACACAGTGACACACAAGCGCACGTGCTCAGACGCACACGCACATACATTTGAAGACACACCCAAATATACACACACAGACACAGACACATACAGATATATATATATATATATATATATATATATATATATATATATATATATATATATATATATACGCACGCGGGTGTGCGAAAGGGCACTGAAAACGTCTCTGGTCGATGCACTCCTCAAAATTTGACCAAATTCCCAAATATCAGTTTTTGTTTTTTTTTTTAAATCATCCTTTGTACGAACAAAACTTTTTTTGCGCAACTCCCATATACATACAACGAGGTAATAGAAAAATCCTCTCACTAAACAAACAAAAATCCCTTTGAGAAGTGGGTCGTTCCGAGTTCAATAACTTTTCAGCACCCCTGAAACACATCACTCTCTCTCTCTCTCACACACACAACACCACATCACACATACAAAGATATATATATATATATATATATATATATATTTTACTCTGTCCTGGACATTAAGTTCTATCTGGATTCTATCCTCTTGTAATTTTTTTATACAAAATATATATGTATGCGTATGTATATATTTTGCATATGTATATTTACCACTTATATTATCAATATATATATGCATATTTCACTGAATACGACAGACAAGGTGCTTTTATTTAGTTTTTTTTGTCTGTCGTATTCAGTGAAATGTGCATGAAAGAAAGATTGCTGCCTAAATACACACACACACATACATACATATATATATTTATTAAAGACATTTTTATTTATGTTTAACGTTGTTATTTTATAGATACAAGTATTTAAGCAAATGCTCTGTTTATGATAAACAGTATTAAATAACATTTACCGGCCTGAATGTCTGAGAAATTTTCATAGAAAATATTCGTTCATAGACAGGATTCGAACCTGCATCCTATACGGAACTGTCATATACGCCGACATGCCTTAACCACTCGGCCACCATGAACCTTATGGTAGACAAGGTCGAATTTACTGTTATAAACTACAATCTTCCATGAATCTCGTACATTCATAACTGCTCTGGCGTATCGAATGTAAACAAATGACGTCATATGTTAAAAATGGACAAGGTCCGACAATTTATTTATTAAAGACATTTTTTTTTTATGTTTAACGTTGTTATTTTATAGATACAAGTATTTAACAACGTTAAAGATAAATAAAAATGTCTTTAATAAATAAATTGTCGGACCTTGTCCATTTTGTTTATATATATATATATATATATATATATATATATATATATATATATATATATATATATATATATATATATATATATATATATATATATATATATATATATATATATATATATATATATATATATATATATATATATATATATATATATATATATATATATATTTATAAGACATTACAATACATAGAACATGTTTTTAGCTATTTCTAATACAGTTAGATTAATTAAACTTTTACTGCTCGTAGAACAGACCTGGTTTCAAGCCCAGGTATTCAGTCAAACATTCAGATTTTTTTAAAAAATTCCAAAAAGTTTCCCACGAAGTAAAAACGATATTTAGTAACTCAAAAGTTTACAACACAGTTTTTTTTTTATTTTATTTGCAACAGCTTTTTTTTTTTTTTATTATAAAAGTCTTCAAATTTTACTAGAATTTTTAGAACGTTCCAGATTAATTTTATGATTACTTTTAGGAATGATTAAAAGTATTGCGCCATTCTTTTCCTGACAACCGTTCTTTCAACATTGGACAAAATAGGGAAGAGCAAAATAATTGATTTCCGTAAACGTATTGTTGACCTTTATACAAATAGACTTGGTTATAGGAAGATATCTAGTCAGTTAAATATGCTATTGAGTTAGGTTGGTACGATAGTCCGTCACTGAAAGACGTGTCACCCCAATGGTCCCCCACCAAAAAAAGGCCTGGTCGTCCTAGAAAGGTAACGGAACATACGGCAAGATTATTGACGAGAAAAGATCATTGAATGAACCCCGAGTTACGCTTAAAAACGTCAGGGAGGACTAGAATTAAGTAGAGTAAAAGTGAAAATACGGATACAATTAGTCGTTTACTTTGTTGATATGACATCTTTTCGAGGACTCCAAAGAAAAAAAACACTTCTTAAGCGAAAACACGTTCTTGCCAGACTGGATTTTACAAACGAGCATTGTATCAAACCTGCAGTATTTTGGGAAAATGTACTTTGGTCAGACGAAACGAAAACTGAAGTTTTTGGCAGAAATGCTGTGGTAAATGTGTCGAGAAAGAAGGGTACTATTCAGTACCCTTCTTTCTCGACACATTTGCTGAAGAATACTATCCTAACAGTTAAATTTGGAGGCGGATCAATCATGCTCTGGGGTTGCTTTAGTGCCCAACGTGTAGGAAACATTGAAATAACATAAGGAAGGATAAATGGTGCATATTATATGGATATTTTGGAGATCAATTTACGTTAGAGTGCACATTCGCTGGGCTTGAAACCAGGTCTGGTCTTTCAACAAGACAACGATTCTAAACATACTGCAAAGCTTACAAAATCATGGTAAAGTTCAAATAGAATAGACGTTCTAAAATGGCCAAGTCAATCTCCAGATCTCAAACCGATTGAAAATTTATTGAGAGAGCTGAAACTGGGAATTCAAAGAAGGAACTCGTAAAAACTGCTTAAACTAAAAAAATATTGTCGTGAAATATGGAAAAATATTAGCCAAGAAATATGCAAGAAATTCTTAGGGGTCTTTTTTGTAATGTGTTGTAAACTTTTGCGTAGCACTGTATATATCTGTGTGTATTTATATATGTGTGCATATATGATTCATTGTTATGTATATATATATATATATATATATATATATATATATATATATATGTGTGTGTGTGTGTGTGTGTGTGTGTATTTATATATATATATATTTGTATATATGTATATATATATATATATATATATATATATATATATATATATATATATATATATATATATATATATATTTCATGTCAATACCCTATATAGGTAGTCTATTTCATGATGCACTTAACGGTTTGCAAAACTATTTCAATGCACCAATGCTGCATATTCCATAAGGAATACGAACAGAGACCTATAAAGTTTCGGAAACCTTCTGCGCTTAAAGCAAATCTCAAAATGGTATTTATAGACAACAGAAGTTTCCTATTAAAGTCATAAGTTAAACTTTGCTAAAAATAAAAAAGTAAGCTGGACTGTCTTATCAACTGAGCAATGGTGAAAAGAAAAAAAATCACTCAAGCCTTCAGTAATGGTACCAATATTCATACGTAGGCTTCTATCTTGAAATTCCATTCAAGAAACCTCAAGAGAAAGATGAATAGGTTGAAGAGAGAACAGTAGAAAGGAAAACTTGATGAGGAGGTCACAACAACAAGAGGGATCATCATTTCAGCTAAAGAGATCAATTAGAAAAGATCCAACTCAATCCATAAGACGTTTGGCACGTGAGAGAGGGGTTTCACTTATAACAGTCCAATGAATAGTGAAGAAAGACCATTATACGTGAAACATGTGAGGCACTTTGTTATTCAAGGACAGAAAGTTAGAAGGTTAGAAAGGGCGAAGATCATCTTAAATGATTTGGAATATGATCCCGAAAATATATATATATATATATATATATATATATATATATATATATGAACTTTATTTCAATCCTTCATGAGCTTCCGATCCTTAGCTATGATTAATTAATGATGGACATGTCATTTTCGTTTATGATCAAATTCATTACGTTTCTTCTGTTAAGCTTTGAATAATTATACATTCTTAATTCTGAGAGTAGCGTCCAATAGGGTTATAAAAGCCTAGAAAAATCCCAGTAAGATATCTTTAATCATTTCTATGATACAACGGTTCAAAGTTTAGTCTAACAATTGGACAATTTTGGTGTTACACGATTTGGACAAATTTGGTGTTACACTCCATATATATATATATATATATATATATATATATATATATATATATATATATATATATGTATATGTCTGTGTTGGAGAAAACGATATGTAATTTTTTTTTATATCAAAATAATTTTAGGAAAATCTGTAACAAATTTCAGCGTCTCCACTCATTTATGCACTTGTGTAAGTAAATATCACTTTGTTTCGATGAAGTCCCAAAGGAGGAAACAAAATATATATACACACACACACACACACACACACATATATATATATATATATATATATATATATATATATATATATATATATATATAATATATATTTAATATTTTTGTGATTAAGCGCGTCGACAAAGAGTTTTATATTAAAAAAGTAAATATTTGTTGAGAAAACTCAATGTTATTTTTTTTTTCATTATAATGGTGGAATTATCCGTTTACATATGAGAAAATTTCGGGTTTCATTGACTGAACACTTTCTGTCGATTAAAATTTATAAAGGTTTAAATATTTTTTTTTCTTTCAGGAAATGAAGCTTCTCAAGTTGATTACTGTTATCGTTATTTCTAGTATTAATGGGTGTTTCATCTCAAATCTTTCATTTCAGGTCATGTGTAAAGTTCACATTTTGAATATATCATTATTTACCTTTTCCATTACATTTTTTCTTCCTGCCCTTAGAAGTGATGAGTTTTTCGTTATTTACTAAAGCCCTTCGATGGTGACTTTCAAGGCTAGTCTATATAGTCAAGTAAGTCGGTAAGTTTCAAAGGATTTATTCGCTTGAATCCACTATTTAAACATTGCTGAGAAAATGGTTGCTTACAGATGATTGTTTAGGTATTTTTGAACGCCATGCATGGCATCTATACGAGCATCTAGATCTATAGTAACTGTTTGAGAACACTTAAGGATATCGTCCGGTTCATACTCCTTCGCGGTCTATATAAGCAGGAATAGCGTTTTATCCCTTGTTTCCTGTCATATAAGAAGAGTATTATTATATATGACGTCAGCACTTCTTTTCGTAGTTGAAAGCTAAGTTATAAACGACAAAGTGCTGCCAACCTAAATAGACTGCATAAAAAGCTAGCGTTATTTTATTTAAACATTCCTAGATGTAAAATTCCGGTGAGGTAAAAACAAAATGGTGTCGGATAATGCAGAAAAATGCAGCGACCCGAAAAAATAATAAGATGCAAGTTTAGTTTTTTTAAGAGCCTCGAAATTATTTTCTATTTTTTAAGAGCCTAGAATCTATTTGCTAAGTTATTATTTTTTGCCAATCCTTTTTGGTTTTCATCTCTAGGTGAAAAAAAAAGGAGAAAAAAAAAAAACAAACAAAAAAAAACCTTTGCGCATGACACCAAAATGAGTTGTTGAACATGATGCCTTACGGCAAATTGTTTCATTCCCGTGTTTATGCATAAGACTTCCGCTCTAGTTAACTGACTTATTGCATTGTGATACAGACTAAGTCGCCCATGGGATTAAGCATTTATTGAAAAGAAAGACAGATGAGAGGTTAAGAAAGAAAGAGAATTGAGAAGGAAAGAGGAAACGGAAGGTGAACAGTTGAAAGAAAAGAGAATAAAAAAAAAGTGAGAATGAGGTGTTAAGTAAGAAAGAAAAGCGAAAAGAGAGAAAAATGAAAGAGGAAAAAAAAAGATGTGGGGCTGAGAAAGAAATAAGAAAAGAGAAGATGAACGGATGAAAGAAAAAAGAATAAAAAGAAAGAATTAAATGTTAATTAAGTAAGAAAGAAAAGCGGAAAGAAAAAATAAAGAAAGAAAGGCGGAAAGAAAGGAAGACGGAAAGAGAGAAAAATGAAATGCTGAGAAAGAAAGAAAGAAAGAAAGAAAGAAAGAATGAAAAAAGGCGGAAGGAAAATGAAAGGCTGAGAAATAAAGAGACAGAATATGAACGGATGAAAGAGAAAAGAATAAAAGAAAAAGAATGAATTGTTAAGAAAGAAAGAATGGTAAAAAGAAAGAAAATAAGAAAGAAAGTAAAAAAGAAAAGCAGTAAGAAAGAAAGAAAGAAGAAAGGCTGAGAAAGAAAAAGAGACAGAAGATGAATGGATGAAAGAAAAATGAATAAAAAAGAAAGAATGAAATGTTAAGAAAGAAATAAAGAAAGACAGAAACAAATTAAAAAAGAAAGTTTGTAAGAAAGAAAGGAAGACAGAAAGAGAGAAAGTTGAAATGCTGAGAAAGAAAGAAAGAAAGAAAGAAAGAAACAAACAAACAAGAGCGGAAAAAAGAAGAAAGGCTGAGAAAGTAAAAAGAGGCAGAATATGAACGGATGAAAAAAAGAATAAAAAAGAAAGAATGAAATGTCAAGAAAGAAAAAAAGGCGGAAAGAATGAAAGGAAGATAAGCTGAAAGAAAGTAAAATAGAAAAGCCGTAAGAAAGAAAGAAAGAAAGAAAGAAAGGCGGAAAGAGAGAAAAATGAAATGCGGAGAAAGAAAGAAAGAAAAGAAAGGGCGGAAAGAGAAAAAATGAAATGCTGAGAAAGAAAGAAAAGAAAGAAAGAAAGAAAGAAAGAAAGAAAGAAAGAAAGAAAGGCAAAAAAAGAAAATGAAATGAAGGAAAGAAAGAAAGAGAAGGAGAGAAAATGAAATGCTGAGAAAGAAAGAAAGAAAGAAAGAAAGGCGGAAAGAGAGAAAAATGAAATGCTGAGAAAGAAAGAAAGAAAGAAAGAAAGAAAGGCGGAAAGAGAGAAAAATGAAATGCTGAGAAAGAAAGAAAGAAAGAAAGAAAGAAAGAAAGAAAGAAAGAAAGAAAGAAAGAAAAAAATGAAATGAAAGAAAGAGAAAAAGAAAGAAAGAAAAGAAAGAAAGAAAGAAAAGAAAGAAAAAAAATGAAATGCTGAGAAAGAAAGAAAGAAAGAAAGGCAGAAAAGAGAGAAAAAATGAAAGCTGAGAAAAAAGAAAGAAAGAAAGAAAGAAAGAAAGAAAGAAAGAAAGAAAGAAAATGAAAAAATGAAAATTGAGAAAGAAAAAAAGAAAGAAAAAAAAGAAAGAAAGAGAAAGAAAGGCGGAAAGAAAGAAAAAATGAAATGCTGAGAAAAAAAGAAAGAAAGAAAATAAAGAAAGAAAGAAAGAAAAAAAAAAATGAAAGAAAGAAAGAAAAGAAAGAAAAGAAAGAAAGAAAAAAATAAAGAGAAAAAAAATGCTGAGAAAAAAAGAAAAGCGGAAAAAGAAAAAAAAAGAAATGCTGAAAAGAAAGAAAGAAAGAAAGAAAGAAAAAGAAAGAAAGGCGGAAAGAGAAAAAATGAAATGAAAGAAAGGCGGAAAAAAAAAAGAAAAAAGAATTAAAAAGAAAGAGAAAGAGAGAAAAATTAAATGCTGAGAAAGAAAATGAAAGAAATTAAAAAAAAAAGAAAGAAAAAAGAAAGAAAATTAATGAAAACTCGGAAAGAGAAAAAAAAGAAAATGCTGAAAGAAAGAAAAAAAGAAAAAAAAAAAAAAGGAAAGGCGGAAAGAGAGAAAAAAATTAATGCTGAAAAAGAAAAGAAAGAAAGAAAGAAAGAAAAGAAAAGAAAGGCGGAAAAAGAAAAAATGAAATGCTGAGAAAGAAAAAAAAAGAAAAGAAAGGCGGAAAGAGAAAAAAAAAAATGCTGAGAAAGAAAAGAAAGAAAGAAAAAAGAAAGAAAAAAGAAAGAAAGAAAGAAAGAAAAAGAGGCGGAAAGAAAAAAAAACTGCCGATAGAACATGATGCAAAATTGCTTTTATTTTACTTTTCGAATGAGATATGGCAAAGGCCAGATTTTAAACGAGTGAAGCGACACACATTTCTATGCGGATTGTATCAGAAATTGCTTAACTCCGTTGGCATAAGGTGTGCCCGCTGATCCTACTGTTTTTATTTCAAAATAGATGCCCTGCCCAACGAAATAAAAGGGGGACCTTCGGGAACTAAGGACAAGTGCATACTGCCTTCTCTCGCACGAAGACGGGATAAGGTCGGTGGGGAACAAGCGGGATTGTCAAACAACAACTGGCTAAGCGGGTTTAATCATAAGCTGAGTCTCTCTTCAGTCCATTACACATTACACAGCGAATGGGATGTGGAAGCCGGAGCTATTTTTGAAGATTACACCGTCGTACCAACGAACAGTCCTCGACCAATCACAAATACTTAACACTTGCTCACGCGAACATTAATAATTGTTTTGAAATAAGCAGGAACCTATTTTTAAACGCCACTTGACTCTGTTATTAACAATAAAGATAAAAGAAAACCAAAATGGAGGGAGAACAATATAGAAGATCAAGAAGCACGGATCAATAAGTCTGTAACTTGACATGCTATTTGAATTTCAATCTGAAAATGTAATTGCATTAGTTTCCATTCTTGTAATTATACTTTACCGCTGAATTGAGTGCATTGACAAGGAAGGAGATAATGTCGAAAAATGTTTGTTGTGTAAAATAATTGTTTTTCCCCTCATGAGACTGTACAAGAGTAGATCAGTAAGTCCATAGCCCGACACGGTTATTAGCAGAATTTTGATCTGATAATTTCACTGTATAATGTTCTCTCGATGCGGTTAATATTCACTAATGAATTAACTGCATTGAGAAGAAAGGAGATTAAGTTGCGTATTAAGTAAAAACCCGGTATGTGTCAGTTTTCAAAATTGTATTTGGGAGATTGGCCAAACACAATCTTTCTATCTCCATTCCTACCTACTCTGGTTTCCGAGGTTGGATCTGAGTCCAGCTGGAATATTTATCATTTTACCTTGTTAAAAAAACGAGGCTTGTATAAATATATCTCATCTTGAAACAAATATTTTTTTTATTTTGTTTACTAAAATATTTATAGTTATTTTGATTTTTTTTATCATTGTTAAATATATCCTGAACTTAGATTTATAGTTATTTTGATTTCATTTTATCGGAATCTCTGAACTTCGAAAATTTAAATTCAATTTCGATCATTCTTCCCTGTCTTCTTAATTCATGTTCTTTTATTGTTCTCTCTCAATAATGTTTGTTATCTTTTTCTCATTCTTTCAAACTTAGTAAGCCCATGCGTCTTAGTGGCTTTATTGCCTTAATTAAAAAATCAATTTGTGTCAGACTCTGAAAACTTATGTACCCCAAACTAAGCTGGTTTTAGTCTGCCATAAGAATCGAACCCAATATTGACCTAAGAAACGAGTATATCTGGATACTACTCCACGATGGATCATACCCCTTTTATTGCTTTCATCGTCTAGCCACTTAAACTTCAATGTCAGGTAATGGTTAGCAAGGCTTGTTTGGTTCAACATTACTACTGATATGTGAGTTTGATCCTTACTGGGTGCCCCATACGAAATTCGACATTAAATAACCTGATAAGGTTTAACATGTATCTATCTAGCTAGCTAGTTATCTGGGTACTTTGGTGTGAGTGATCCTTGTTGGGTACCTCATACGAAATTTGACATTAAACAAACCGATAAGATTTGATATGTTATAAAATCAACCAGCAAATAACAAATTCAACTTATCTAAGCTTAATACGGAATATTAATGAATCGAAGAAAAACAAATTAAGAAAGTGTTGTGGAGTGATTTCACAGTGGACGCTTGTATTTCACTAAGTTGGTCCTAAAATAGGTCCGACGTACAAAACGTTAGGAACTTGATATAATAGGTATAACGCAGAGTAATCTAGTTGTGGTCGCTGATACTTTAGTAGTCGACTAACTGTCGTCCGACTGACTCCCTAACCGACTGAGCGACCGGCTCCCTTGTTACTCTTACTATTCCTACTTATTATAGGGGGAGAGTTATTAATAATAGAATACAAAGTTTACTATAACAGAAATTTTTTGACTTTTCAGCAGTGTGAAACTATTTGCCTTAAAAAATCAGTATTGGAAATACTGCTTTTTATCCGTGTTCAACCTATAATTGCTGGTGACGATAACATAATCTACCATGGATTTTATGTATTGAGGTGTTTCAAAATTATATCTTATAACATTTTTTTATTTTTTTTCAATAAACACGCATGCAATCGGAGATTTATTTTTCTCGTTCAGAAAATTCCCTGAATTTTAAAGGAATCCGCTTTTCATGCTTAAAACATGAAGGTGACAGGTATTTATGAACGACTAAAAGTCAGAAATGTAATTCCCCTAGAATAATCCAAAGCATGTGTCATATATATATATATATATATTTATTGATGCATGTTTCATTAAATAATATAAACAAGTTTTGTCTATCTATTTTAAGTAAGTTCCTTTCATATTGGCTGATAAGCTTAATAACATTATCGTTGAAGGACGAAACATGAAGGATTTAAACACGTATCAATATGGTGATTTCCTTTTGTTTTTCAACGATAATGTGATTAAATTATCAGACAAAATGAATAAAAAAACTTAAATTAAATAAATTTCTGTTGTCTATATTATTTAATTTGGCTTAAATATCATCAATTATAAAATTGTTTCAAAAATAAAATATATATATATATATATATTTGTAATTTTAATTTTTATAATTATATATATATATATATATATATATATATATATAGGAAAGTGTTTGGGGGGTGTCATTCGAATAGATAGTACTGTTTCGCTGTATCACAGCTTCTCAGTGCGATTAGACGTCCGAATGTTTCAAGCCAGGACCGAAACACGACCGATTTACTTAAAAGAGTTTCTGCCAGTGAGCCATCATCACTCTGCAGAGAAAAACAGCTAATTCTAAACCCAATCATATATATATATATATATATATATATATATATATATATATATATATATATATATAAAATATTTTTGTGTTTATCCATTCTTTTCATAGATAAAAATATTTAAGTTAATGCTCTGTTTATAATAAACAGTATTAATCAAATTCACCGTCTTGAATGCCGGAGAAATTTTTCAGGCCGGTAAATGTTGTTTAATCCTGTTTATTATAAACAGAGCATTTACTTAAATATCTGTAGCTATAAAAAGAATGTATAAACATAAAAATGTCTTAAAATAAGTGTCGGACTTTTCATAATGTGTGACGTCATTTGTTTACATTTGATACGCCATGAGCAGATATGAATGTACGTGAGAGATTCATGGAAGATTGAAGTTTAAATACAGTAAATTCGACCTTGCTAACCGAACGCTCCTCTGTGGCTAAATCGGTAAAGGCACGTCAGGCTAAATGAAAGTTCCGTATAGGATACAGGTTCGAATCCTGTCGGAGGACGAATATTTTCTGTGAAAATTTCTTGGACATTCAGCCCAGTAAATGTTGTTTAATGCTGTTTATTATAAACAGAGCATTTACTTAAATATTTGTATCTATAAAAAGAATGTATAAACATAAAAATGTCTTAAAATAATTGTCGGACTTTGTCCATTTCAATATATATATATATATATTGCTACCTCTTCTAGTGGGTATGACGTTTGCGTCATATCATAACGGTCCGGGTTCGATTCTCGTTAGTGGATGCGCACTGCTGATGAGTCACAAAATAAGACGAAAATGGCCGTCGAGTGCTTTTTGCATTCTGTTGAGGATTCTTCTAGTCTCGATGAATTAATCATGATTATTCAAATCCAACTAAAAATTTACATATATATATGTGTGTGTGTGTGTGTCTTTGTCTGTTTATCTGTGTGGTTCATAAAACAGTGTTCAATATCAAACACAGACGGATGTTTAAGGAAAGAATATTTTTCATCCACTTTTTCTATGTAGATATAAATTGTTAAAAAAATATCAAGAAAAAAATTAAAACTAATTTGAGAAGCGAATATTTAAGAACTTCAAAAATTTGAATAAAGAATTATTTTAAAATACTATTAACTCTGCTGAAGTGTCCCGATACAAAAGAGACAGTTCCAGGAATTTCTTTTTGCGCATTTTTAAAAAAATCATTTCACCCCAAGCAAGGCAATAAAGCCACTAACACACAAAAGATTATCGAGAATGTGAGATACTATTAAGGAGAAAGGACAATAAAAGAATAAGTATTAAGAAAACAGAAGATAACAATTGAAAATCAAAGTTGGTCGGAAAGCAGTGAACCGGAAGTGAGTTTCTCAAGAGAAAAGTGCATTAGAAAAAAACTGTTAGCATAGAACTTGCGATTATATCTATCGATTTCGACTGTAAAATGACTTGCCACTAAACTATATCGCTTAAATTACTAAAGTCTCGGTACCATAGAGGAAAGTTCATCAGAACAATTGCCATGAAATTATTTATAACAAAAATCACAAGGAAGCTACGTTAGGGAGGTGTGAAAGTGACGACAGCAGCTGAAATGCCAGGTTAGGACCAATACAATTGCAGATTCTTCTTTGGATATTAATATGAATCTGTAAATATATACCAGGACCACCAGACACGATAGTGCAGAAATATTGAAAGCAATGGTGAATGGTAGACTTATAAATGCGTAACATAGTTTCTGAAGAGGAAAATGTCTATCTCGAGACAATGACTCAACTTTCCTAACTGCAGACCTAGCAATTGATTCAATAGACTCTTTCTATTTCATATCATCGGAAAATATTAGTCCGAAGAATGCGCAGTGAGTCACTCTTCTAGAGGTTAGCCTCAGCCATGCTAATGGAAGGGAAAAAGGTTTCTTTCAGACGTTTAAAAGTGAGTGGTTTCGTTTGGGAGGCGCTAAAATTAACAAGACATTACTTGCCACTATTTACATTATTTGGACTATTGTACTCATCTTTGTCGCCATATTTATTACAACTTTTCGGCCGTTCTACGCCCTGGCCTTCTTCAGGTGGTTAGAATATCGAACTGAACCATTTATTTCGCTCACTGTTCTAGTTCCACGTGCCATGTTTAATGGATGTCAGTTATCAGTTATCTCCTGTTAATTCACCTCTCCAAGTTCTCCACTGCCTTAACCACCTGAAGAAAGCCGGAGCGTACAACGGCCGAAACGTTTTAATAAATATGGCGACAAAGATGAGGTCAATAGTCCGAATAATGTAAATAGTGTACATAATACCTCATCTCAGAAATATAGACAGACATTCCTTGCCTTAGTTAACAACAGATTGTAGGTTGTTTTTGAGATCGGCTGCCAATTTGACCTTATCGAACCGATCAGATTTATTATTAAGACAGGACTAAATAGTTGTCATCAGCATAGATACCGACATGAGAACTGATGACATCGGGTAGGTTGTTGATAAAAATTAAGGAAAAAAAGTAGGTCCGAGCAAAGACAGCTGGGAGACACCCGTGTTAATGTAAAACGATCTAGAAGAATGTCCGTTCAAGACAACCTTCATTTCGCAATTTGATGAGACTAAATCTGTTCAAAAATTCGTCTAGAAATACCGTAACTTCTCAGCTTGTGAAGATGACCCTATGCCAAATCATGTCAACGTCTGATAAAATAACATTAACCAAATCTAAGGAAGAAAATTAAAACTGATTTGAAGACTTACTTTTAAAATAATTTTCAAAAATAATTTAATAAACTTCAAAATATTAAAGAAAAAAATTAGAAGCTTATTTAAAAAATTATTATAAAACTCATTTTAAGAAATTTCAAAAGACTTATTGTTCTGGTAAGAACCATCTTACTAGCATAAACGAACTAATCAACTCATGACATACAGCGTGTCCATAAAGTTCGTGTGCACTTTAAAAAATTTATAAATTTATTTGTATTTACGATAGAAATAATTTGTAAAAAGGATTAGAAAGAAGTTAATCTATATTTTTTTAAGGTTTTATTGAAATTTTATTTAAGTTTCCACATGTCCTCCATCATTAGCAATACAAAGGGTAATACGATTTTGCAGTTCACGGAAAACATTTGCCAACTGATTTACAGTAATGCCTGAAATCACATTAGTTATTTTAGCTATACTTAAAACTAGGTACATTAAACTTTATAACATTTTTTACAATAATTTTTAAAAATAATTGTCTGGGTAATTGTCTAGACGGGAAAAAGAAGCTCATACTATGGTTTGTCTAGCTGAGTACTGAATACTACTATCACGATTGACTAGATCGAGTTAAGTGTTGTGTCGTGACAGACCCCACATCACGACACTTATAAACTTAAATAAAAAAAAAATTAATTTTTTTTTATCTCATTCTGATAATTTTAAAAACTCATGTTGGTACTTTAAAACTGACAATGAATGGCATGCAAGAGCTGAAAACAAGCAGCTACACTTTTAACAGGTAATGAATAATGAATATGAAAAGAAACGGACCGTATCAGGAATGTGAATTCAGTTTTTATTGTTGCCTCCGTCTTTTCAGTCTGTTGCTTTCAGCTTTTATTGATTCATCAAGGCGTCGTCACATGCACACATTTCTCTGCAATCTATAAATTTGCTGTGTATCAGATCTCAGTGTTGTCAACATGAGGGTGGGAAGAATTCTGTTTTCGTTTTTTTTATGTAAATACATTGTTTTGCATGAAAAACAAAGAGTTGCCTTCTTTGTTTACTTGTAAGAAGACAGGATGCATGGTTGTCAATAAAAGGAACAGATTAGATCTGAACTACGAATTGGAGACAAACAAAAAAATCTAACAAATAAAAATATTTAGCTATAGGGTAAGTGCTTTACCAGAGCACGGAAAATGCGATACCGAAGTAGGAAGGCGCATTGGAATAGCGAAAGATGTCTTCCGAAAGCTAAGGAAAGTATTTAGAAAAAAGAAAAATTTTGTTAGACACAAATTAAAAACTACGGCATTGAGAAATAACAAAAAGACAAACTTTAATGAGAATTAGAAAGGACAGGAGATTGCGGAAAGCCATGACCACCCACGTCATGAAAGGACACGGCGCATAGTAGAAGAAGAAGAAGAAGAAGAAGAGGAAGAAGAAGAAGAAAAAGAAGAAGAAGAAGAAGAAAATGAAGAAGAAGAGGCAGTAGAAGAAGGAGAAAAAGAAGAAGAAGAAAAAGAAGAAGAAGAAAAAGAAGAAAAGAAAAAGAAGAAGTAGAAGATTCTAGACATGATTGTTAGACTTACCATGACTAAAATCGTTATATTTTTAGATACATATATTTTTCACCTTGTACAATGTCCAAGAGCCACTCTAGGTAGAATGTTACAGAGTAAGAGTCAAAATTTATGGGTTATGTAGAAAAGATAAAGGTTAACCCTAGATAAGGTAAGATTGTTGTGATTGGGGAAGCATCCTCTTGGGAGTCGGTTTGTGGGACGAAGTTATGCAAGTAGAACTTACATCTCACCTATGGAATACGAAGGGAATGGTGGTTGTTCGGTACAATGGGCGTGGAATGGTGGGCTTTAGCCGTGATGGTTATGGACTGATGGAACTAAGGAGTGTAGTTTGCCTGAACACTTTCCATGGAAATAACGATAGAACAGCAAGAGACTTGCATCGTTTCGTTTGTGGGAAAAGGATTGGAGGGTGCAAAAAGAATTCATCACCCACAAGGACGCGGTGAGGCTTCTGAACTCTGTCAAGACTGGAAAGTGAAGACTGGGTAGCTTCTACTCATATATGGCTGCAATACTCCATTTTTGGCCTGATTTGGCTCTTTTGTAAAATATTTTGGATAGCGGGTGGAGCCAGGAACGATACAGAGAACTGACCGTTTTGTAGCATTTTAATTTATAGAATTATGTACGAGTTCCACGTGAGGCCTGAGCTGAGCTGAAGTCCTAAAAGACGCCCAAACTACGGAGCTACCCGACCACAGAGAACGCCTATTAATCGCTACAGGCGAACATTTGGAGTTCGCCCGGTGATGAGGAAACGTCACTTGTTTGGTTCTTGAAGCATTGAACTTGACCAGCTAATTTTTCACCTACTGAGCTATTAAAGCTCAGTCAGCGGAGAGATCAGCTGCCAGGCTCTGACCATATATAATTTTGGAGGTGCACCTATATGCAGTTGTATCATCGATATAGATATTTACAAATGATTGGACTATAATCTTCGGTAGATAACTCATACAAAATAGAAAGAGGGTTAGATTAAGAAGCGAGCCTTGGGGGACACTGAAGTTGATCACTTAGGTCTCAGAGGACTGGTCGTTAACACCTACCTTCACAGGCCTTCCCGCTAAGGGGAACTTGATAATTGGAAAAAAAAACCTCTTCCAGTGATTCCATATTTAGAGAACTTTTGCAGCAACCCTGTATGCAACATGTCGAAATGTTTGCTAATGACCCCGAGGATTCTGATGGGACGGGGATAAGCGCACGTCCGCATTCTTGAAAACAAGAAATATACTTAAGACAGATTTTAGAAGGATCTCTCTTTCAAGCAGTGGTTAAATAGTTTTGCTAAGATCGGGGATAATTCACGGTTAATATTCTTAAGGACAACCACAGGCATTTTATCTGAACCGGTAACCTTTGTAAGGTCTTGAGATCTCCCAAACCAGGATAAAAATATTACCAAGTCGCGGGCGTCGGGGGTGGGGGTCAAGAAGGGGATGGCCGCTATCATCTAAGGTGGAGTCAAAGAATTTGGCGAAGAGCTTTGCCTGAAGTTGAGATGACCTCAGAGCAGTTTCTGGTAGTAGGCACTGACTCTTAAAAAATATAATCTATAATTGAATTGTGAGACTCGTCTTGTCTATCCTACTATCCTGCTGACAATGTAAAGTGAACCATTTAAAGAATGCCCCAACACTCAACTTGTTTCTAGGATAGGTCAATAAAAATGACAAAGAATTGAAAGGAGAATGAAAAACTCCACAATACATAGTCGGTTTTAAAGTTGTAATACGCTTAAGTGGTTTGTAATGACAGGTTTGAACAAGCAGTGTGAGACACTAACTAAACAAATGAATTGTTTCTTTGTCTATACAGATATGTAACTTGTTGCATCTTTTTTTAATAACACCGTTTAAAGTGTATGGATCCATGGTGGAGTAATAAATAGTAGCTAGGTCTGAGAAATCGGAGAGCGGGGTTCGAATTCGAGTTGACTTCATTACAGTCACTTACGTGCTAATCCACTTGGAAAATATATGAATCCAACTCTCCCGAGTTATGGCAGACTGGCTCCTATAGCCTTGGATGGTGATTAGTCTAGGAGAAGGAAAACTATGAATTCAAACCAATCTTGCCAAAGATCCGCTACTAATACTACAGCTGCAGTACATATGGTACTCCTACGAACCTGTTGTAACGTAGAAAGGGTTACTGAATGAGGAATAACAAAAAAGGAGTTTGGAAATGAAATGGTAATCTTTATAGCATCAACAAAATAAAATACTCGCCAGCGGCGTGAAGTAGGTAAACCACTGCTAGTGGTGCACTACTTAGCAGATTACCCTCACTTAAAACAGTGTCCAACGTATGTATGAGGACTGGGACATAGGGACAGTATATAACAGAACCTAATGCGTTACAGGAATTGTGACTCTTCTGATCATTGCAGATATACCTGCATGATATATGATCATCTGTCTGCCCGGTTGCTTTTTGATATCATAGTTTAATTTTATACTTGTCGCCTGCGTCATGAAGGTGCATCAAAAGATGCCCCCCAAAAGCTAAACAAAGTATTAAGAAACTGGGAAATTTCGTGAGAAGCAAAGAAAGAATGCTGAATTGACATGTAATATCAATCCTCCCCTATGAAAGTGAATGCTGGACAATTTCCTCGCAGATAAAGAGAAAAATTTGAGGCAACAGATATGTGGTGCTACAGGAGGATGCTTAGAATAACCAGGACGGAACATGTGAGCAACGAGGAAGTTTTTTTTTATGAAAATTGGAACGAAAAGGACGCTTATAGTTAGTTTAGTCTAACTATAAGCGTCATTTTCATTCCAATTTTCAGTTAGTTGAAATTTTGGGGAGACATCGAGGAAAGAGTGTTTGATAAGCTATATTGGACAGGAAGGTGTGAAGTGCCATGATCACACCGCATATAGAAGAAGTGTTCATCTTAATTGTTATAGCTATAACGTTCCAGTCAACGCACCCTCGGGCTTTCTGCCTCTCATAACGTTAAAAAATGGTCTATTGCTGCTAAATCTGAGATGCCGTTTCCCAGTTCTCGCTTTACAATCTTGAGAGAATTCAAAAACGTTTATGCGGCTCCTAACATTTTCCAGTCTGCAGCTACCTTCCAATAGACGACTCGCTACACTATCGTCACTTTAATAGTAAATGTCCAGACGTGCTCCATTCTTTAGTGCCATCATCTCGTAATTTAACAGCTAAAGACCTGCCTTGCTACATCCACAGAGTTGATTCAGATCCTTTCCCTGTTTATTACATTGGTAAGAAGGGTGTTCTACTACGAAAGCTTCTTCTTAAAAACCGCTACTTTGTGGAAGAGACTCCCGCGTGGAAGAGGCTTCCGCGTGGATACTTTCCCCAACAAAACAATCGTTAGTGTTCGTAATCTTCACTTTCTACTTATGTTTATATACAGTGTAACCCGGATATAAGAGACCCGGATATAAGAGAAACCTGGATATAAGAGAGATTTTCTCTGATCCCAAATTAGAGCCTGTGTTAATGTATATAAAATAGACCAAACCCGGATATAAGAGAAACCCGGATATAAGAGACTTCTTCTCCTGTCCCGACAACTCTCTTATATCCGGGTTACACTGTATCACACTTTATTAAATAACCTTCTACGTTGAGTTGCTCTTCTGACTTGTATTGGTCAAATTTTAATTGATAAATTAAAAAAAAAATCGAATTGAACACTTTATTCAATCTACGATGAGCAGACTGTTTATACTAAGAGAGATAACTGATATTAGTTAATTTTTATTTCATATTTCAAGATAATAACTTGAATGTTGGACAACCTCCTCCCAGATGAAGAGAAAACCGGACGCAACGGAAATGTGGTTCTACAGAAGGATACTGAGAATATAATGGACGGCGCGCTTAAGCAATACAGGAGGAAAATGAAAACAAAATGAGATTTATATTCAGAATCAGAAAGCGACAGCTGAAATGTCTTTTACGCATCATAAAAAAAGAGGGCTGAGAGAATCTGGCACTCACAGCACATAACAAAAGCAAAAGAGACAAGGGAAAAAGCAGCAGGTTACATCACACGTACATCCAAGTTTACAGCACTGGTTATTTCCAAGCGGTAATCCATCGAGGTACTGACCAGATTGCTTAACAGGAGGGGTTTGCGTGAATGGATGGTAGAACAGGGATCAGGTGGCTTGGCAAATGGACACACTTTACTAAGAGCTACCACGAACTGGAGGTTGAGGAGAGCCGTGCTCGCCTACGTGCTGGAGGGACATGGCATATGTCAAAAAGAAGATGCCATTTCGGTTCATTCTCACGAATCATATAGTCATATACATATATATACAGGGTGTCCCAAAATTATATATATATATATATTGATAATATTAGTGGTTAATATACACATATATACATATATATATCTAAAATACATACATACACATACATACATATACAAATATATATAAAAAATTCCAAGACGATAGAATCCAGGTAGAACTTAATGTCCAGGACAGAGTAAGAATATACCCCTCTCTTGAACTTTCTTTTACCTCTCACATTCGTCCCACACTCTCATACATACACTCTCGCTAAATTTTCTCTTTTTATTTCCGGTGTTATTTTTCTGATTTCTTTTTGAATTTGTAGGTCTGATGAATTGGATAGTATTTACGATTCCAATGTAATAAATTATAACCATGGAATATTAGTGTTTAAGCCTTTTTATTATTATTATTATTATTATTATTATTATATATATATATATATATATATATATATATATATATATATATATATATATAAGGTGTCCCAAAATAATGTCTACACTCTTTAAATATTAATAGTTAATAATACATTACCGTGATGTGAGAACTTATGTGGATGAAAATCTGCAAAACAGATGGATTAGAAGAAGAGGGACAATTGAATACCCACCTAGATCACCAGATTTGACACCCTTGGCTTTCTTTTTGTGGGGGTTTCTGAAAGACAAAGTTTACGACAGGAATCCTGAAACA